ATAGAAATGTTCTTTTTCCTATTTTATTGGGCAATATACAGATTTATACTATTGCCAAAACTTGTCAAATTGAACACAAGAGTAGTACACTTTATTAGGTTTAATAAACTTTAATGGAGCCAGTCATGGTGCTGCACATGTATAATTCCAGTTACTTGGAGACTGAGGTAGAAGGGTCAAAAGTTCAAAGCCAGCCTTAGCAATTTAGTGAGACCATAAGCACCTTCGCAAGAACCTGTCTCAAAATAAAAAAATAACATAAAATAAAAGGGCTGGAGATGAGACTCAATGGCAAAGTGTCGCTGGGTTCAATCCCTGGAACCAAAAAAATAAATAAATAAAAATAAATATATATAGAAAAACCACAAGCTATTGGTACAATTAAGGTATATAAAATATATAATAAGCATTATAGTTAGTGAAATTAAAGGCATTTATTCAGAGATTAGACCAAACCTAGGGTTTCAGCTATAAATACATCTATTCACTACTTTGCTAAAATTCCATCTAATGAAAGATGGCAAAAAATGGTAATGATTGAACATAAATAATTAAAGGTAATTTTTTTCAGAATGATTATAAATGCAGAAAAGGTAAGTAAAAACTACATACACATTATCAGCACTAATTCATTAACTTAAGAATGTCATTAGAAACAAATGTCATTGGTAAATAAAACTATATTTTATCAATATCTATTAATAGATTAGATAATTAAAATTAAAAACTGACACCATTTGCATTTAGTTTTAAATATTTAGAATTTAATTAAATTAAGGATGTGAAAATCTTTACTGAAAGCTTAATAAAAACTATGTCCACAGATTAGAAGACTGATACGGTACAAAGTTCATCTTAACGTAATATATAAACTTAGTGAAATGTCAAATTCCAGAAATTATTATTTAAAAAATAAGGAGATATTATCATTTATTGTGAAAAACAAAAGCAGCAATAACTTACATAATACTTTTAGACCCTGCTGAGACCCAGAACTACTAAAAACCTCACAAATTGTGGCTGAAGAACATTCAATTGTAGAATACACAGTTTAGTCTTTTTTTTTTTTTTTCTCCAGTAACCATGTAGTGTATCTCCTGCTGTTGTTGTAGTTTGTTTTGGGTTGTCTTCTGTTCCTGGAAAGTTTTGCTACTGTTTTTTAAATAAAAAGAACAATATTTGAGTACTTTATTGACTAATGATGTATACTATGAAAGTATAATAACTAATACAGTCCAATTTTTTTTAAAGAGAGAGAGAGAGAAGAGAATCTTTTTTTTTTTTTTTTTTTTTTTGTAGATGGACACAACACAATGCCTTTATTTTTATGTGGTGCTGAGGATGGAACCCGGGTCTTGCCCATGCTAGGGGAGCACTCTACTACTGAGCCACAATCCCAGCCCAAGTTCAATCTTAAAATGAAATATACACATTGAGCACAAGGGGATGTCCAGAAACAAATCCATGCTTATTTGAACACCCCGTATATGCAAGGTGGCATTGCTAAGAGGAAAAAGGCTAATGAGCACAACAAATGGTGATGGGTCAGTGGCTACCATATGAGAAAAGTAAGTCCTTAGTTCTGAATTCTATCATTAACAACAGTCAAACATAGTGTATTGTTTTTTGTTTTGTTGTGTTGTGTTAGGGATCAAACCTAGGGCCTTACAGGTATTAGGCAAGCATGGTATCACTGATCTACATCCCCATGGTATCACTGATCTACATCCCCAGCCCAAAACATAGTGTAACTTTCAATTAGAATGATAAAATAATACCAAAGGAGATGATATATGATCATATATTCAAGATTTAGCATCATAAAATTTTTATTAAAAATAGGACAAAAGGTGAGAATGATTAATTTTTATTTTTCCATTGTTTTAAAATTAACAAACTGGTATACATAATTATAAAACATCTTGTAAAATTAAAGATGCATTTTTCTACCAATTCTATTGACTATATATCATAGGAGAGTATATTTTAAGATAACCGATAATATGTACATGAATGTTTACAAACTGGTATAGATGTTTGTTCCTTATGCAATATCAAAAAGCAAGAATAATTTTAAAATTATTGAATTGAATTCTGTCTTTTTAAACACAAAATTATAAGATAATAAAAGTGTAAATACACATTGTATATATATATGTGTAATATATATTTTATATGTGGATCAATGACATGCATATTTAAACTATAGAGATGTAAAAAATCAAATTTTAAAAATATTGCCTAAACCTTTAAAAACAAATGCAATTTTCCCACTATAAATATATCACATAAAATAATATTAAAGAAAAAATGTAAGAAATCTATGTCAATATATATAACTGACAAAGAAGCTTTATCATAACAAATAATGAAATCCTGTACATCAAAACAAGTTCACTAGAGAAATGGCAAATGTTTTGAGCTGCTACTCAAGATTAAAAAAATATTTAAATACATAAGAACTTATGAAATTGTGGTTTACCTTCTTGGTCAGCAGGAAATGGAAATTAAATTGATAGATTTTACAAAACGGACAATACCAAGCATGGGGAAGGTGTGTGTGTGTCAGTGGAATTCTTACATAGTTGGTGAGAACTGAAACAAGTACAGCTGTCTTGGAATTTAGCTGATGCAATATACCAATAGTGAACTGAAAATGCTCTGTGATTGACATAATCCAATCTTGGGCACTAAACCAAAGAAATATTTAAATATGTTCTCCATAAAACATATGTAAGTAGGTTTGTAGCAGCATTATTCAAGGATTCCACAAAAATATCTCTCAAGAGTATAATAAATAAATTCACACATTAGAATATCCATATTCATAAATTGATGACATGTTATATTCATAAATTAGAATATGTATAAATGAAAGTGATAAAACTAATGTTTCTAACAACAGCATGGATAGTTTTAAGTATAACCTTTGACATTTCAAAGCTCTGAACAAATCACCTTATTCTTTTCTAGTTTGGTTTGCAGAATATGAATCTACATCTACTAGCTCCTTCTTCTCTTCATCTCTTGCACTCTCCTTTCCTCTTATTTATTTTTATCATTCCTTTCTTTTATTTTCTTTAAGTTTAACCCATTGTTTTCTTTTATATGTGGACTGAATTTTCTTTTTATTATTATTGCAGTACATGTTTTTAGACTGTCTACACCAGTTTCTTGAAATGCTTTTTCTTTCTATGTGGACTTTCTTTATACTTGAACAAATGTATCAGGATTAAATAGTGTTTTACTATGTTATTTATGAGTTTGAATACTGTTTATACTCTAGTCCTTGTGAATTTTCTTTATTAACAGCAAAAACTTTTATGCTGCCTCTTCTCTATCATTTATCTTTTCTAAACATTTTTACCTTATTGTCTTTATCCATGGCAACATAAATCAGTTTTCCATATTTGCCTTCACTGTTACTAATTTAAAAACATAGCATCTTTTCTTACAATGTTGAGATAAGTTCCTGTTATCCCTAGTTTTCTAGTGTTTGAACATGAAGGGACGGGGGCTGTATTTTGTCGATTGCTTTTTCTGCATCTATTGAGATGATCATATGGTTCTTATCTTTTTGACTATTGATGTGATGAATTACATTTATTGATTTCCATATGTTGTACAAACCTTGAATCTCTGGGATAAATTATAATAATAAATAAAAGAATAGTGTTTTTAAAGTTCTTTTAAAAAGGTATGTATGCTTCAGAAAATAGGAATTTCAGAGCTGGGCAGGGGAAGGCAAACAAGAGTCATTGCTTAGTGGTAGCAAAATTTCTGCTTGAAGTGATGAAAGTGTTATAAATAGATAGTGGGGATGATTGGTACATTATAACTGTAATTAATGTCACTGAAGTGTATACTTCAAATGAGTAAGATGGCAGAGTTTATGTTGTATATATATTTATAATGGCACAATGAAAATAGAGTGGTCTTTTTATATGACCCTCATTCACCAAAAATCATATTATGAACTAAGTCAACTATGGGTAGTCTGAATCTCAGTCCTTATAAAAAGAAAGAAATATAAATACTCAAGTTGAAAAGTGGAATAAATAACTGAGTAGATCAAGAATTCTGGTAACAAATAATACATGGTGAAAATGACTATCTATATAGTTATTGTGTTTGTAAAAGAATAGACTGGCCACTTGCATTCATCTTATTTTCCAAAAAATGGGGGAGGGGGATGCCAAAAAAACAAAACAAAACAAAACGAACAAGCAAACAAAAACATGGCAACACTCATGGAAGTTAAGCCTGTGCTGAAGCATGCAGGCCAACTGTGTTAGGATTCTTTTCCCCTGGCTATCAGCCTGGTTAGCGTAGGCAGGAAACTGTGTCTTGAAAATTTTTGTACACTCAAAGGCCAAGGCTTTCCCATGCAGTTATGTGATTCCTGACTACTCTCAATGAAACACCTAGAAGCCATCTTCATCTATTTCAAACCTAATCCGAGGTCCATAAGGTTTGGGGCTTAGCCATCTCTGTCTGGGACTTGCACTCTCATTCTGAAGACCCTCTTGGTCTAAGAAAGTGCTGGCAGTAATTTGCTAATAAATAAGTAAGATTGTGTGTGTGTGTGTGTGTGTGTGTGTGTGTGTACCTGCACGTGTGCATGTGTTTTCTCAATTCCATGAAGTGATAAATTAATAGTTCTTTTATGACCATTTCTCTCCTACCTCTAACACTGGGATTTGTTTACATGGAGAGAATAATTCTCCCGGCTTTTACTTTCAAGTGTACTACAGTGACTGCTAATCTCTTTTTAAGACCTATAGGCCTGTTAACAGCCTACATACCTTTACAGAGAAATGGTATTTTATGGATTTATCAGGTATGGATGAGTTGCTCTAAATACTTCAAAATCTCAGATAATATGAGATACTGACATTCTGGGATTAGCCTAAGTGGCAACCTCTAACCTAAGGATAAGGAGTGCTGAAGAAGGTAAAAGAATAATTATAAGTTCCCACTAGTCCTCTGAGTAGGTTGAGAGTATAGTTACCTTCTCCCTATAAAAAAGTCAAATATTCTCAGACGAATCTGTTTGGTATTAATGCCATAGACCAGGGGATTGAGAACAGGGGGCACAAGGAGATAAAGATTTGCAAGTACAATGTGGACCTGAGGGGGTACTTGGTGGCCAAAGCGGTGGGTAAAAAAGGAGAAGAAGGCAGGGATATAGAAGACAAGAATCACACAAATGTGGGCTCCACAAGTGCTAAATGCTCGGAATTGAGCATCCTTGGAGGGCAATCGCAGCACAGCCTGCAGGATCAGGATGTAGGAGGTGGCGATGAGGACCACATCCATGCCAGTGATTGAGAGAGCTACAGTAAGACCATAGATGTTGTTGGGCTTGATGCTGGCACAGGCCAGCTTGGCTATGCCCATGTGCTCACAGTAGGTGTGGGGGATGATGCGATGTCCACAGAAGGGTAAGCGTTCGATGAGGATGACAAATGGGAAGACAAAGAGAAGACCACGGATAACACACGCCAGGCCAATCTTCCCAATCATGGTGGCGTTGAGGATGGACATATAATGTAGTGGACGGCAGATAGCCACATAACGATCAAAAGCCATGGCTAGCAGAACAGCTGACTCTGTGGCAAAGACTGCATGAACAAAAAACATCTGGGTGAGGCAGCCTTGGTAGGAAATTATGTGGGACCTAAGCCAAAAGATTGTTAGCATTTTGGGCAATGTTGTTGAGCAGAGTACCAGATCCGTAATGGAAAGTAGGCACAGAAAGAGGTACATCGGCTCGTGCAGAGCTCGGTCTGTCATGATGATGTAGAGGATGGTGCCATTGCCAACTAAAGCAAGGATATACATGGAGCAGAAGGGGATGGCAATCCAAATGTGCTGGTCTTGCATCCCAGGGATTCCAAGTAAAAGAAATGTCAAAGGGTGGAAGGCAGTGTTATTGGGCACAGATGCAGAGTGCATAATGGTGAAGAAAAAAAAAAGGGTCTTTAGCTTCCTAAAAGGAGTTAGAAAATGAAATGATGTCATCATAGATGTCATTTATTCCTTCTGAATACCCATTCCATTGTCTGCCTTTTTTTTACAGTAATTCTGCTCAAGTTTATGCCTTTCTCACATTTTGTCTAGATACTTTAAATAGTTTTGTGACTGCTGGTGTTATCCTGCTTCTAGAATTTGCATTTTCAAGTGATGCCTCTACATTACTGACCAAATATTTTAACACAAGTATAATCAGCTATACACAAATATAACTTTTCTTTGGGTATCCTGTGCAAAATTTTGCCTTCTCTGGTCTACCCTCCACTACTTTTTATCATCTTCTGGAACCTGAACACTGACCTCTACAGACTACCTCAACAAATTCCCTCACCCTGTCACTGCTGGTTGGATCTGGCAAAGGAAATATCAATAGGAAGTTGGAGGGAGAAAGAAGAATGAGGTCAGATGTTTATTCCTCTTGCTCCCTTCAGGCAGGGTTGTTACAAGCTCCCTATATTACTGTCTAAACAGTCTTTCTGGTTTGGGTTATCTCTGGCAATAGTGCCTTCCTCTTGTCCATTCTGTTCAAAGGTTGTAATTATGCCTACTGTGACTCACCTAGGGAATTTAAAAAGCAGTTATGATTTCCTAATACATACCCACCTCTTTTAAAATGATTTCTGGCTGGGTTCAGTGGCACATGCCTGTAATCCCAGCAGCTCAGGAGGCTGAGCAGGAAGATCACAAGTTCAAAGCTAGACTCAGCAATTTAGTAAGGCCCTAGGTAACTTAGGAAGAGCCTGTTTCAAAATAAAAATAAGAAGGACCGGGGATGTGACTCAGTGGTTAAGCATCCCTGGGTTCAATCCCTGGTAATAAAACAAACAAACAAATAAATAAACAAATAAAATGTTTTCTGTATTATCTTAAACTCTCCTAAATTACCAAAACTGAGTAGGTGATTTGTTTCCTGCTTGGATCCTGATACAAAGCTTCTCTTGAGCTTGCTTTTGCCTCCTTATCTAGCATTATTTACTAACATTTTTTGTCACATACTTAATATTCCAGCCATATGTAGTAGTGTGAAGTGTCTGAAAGCATACTTTCTTGCACCAGGATAACTTTGCATAGGGTGTTTTCACTGCAGGCAATAGCTCTTTCCATTTGTCAATTAGCAAGCTAAAAAATTATTCAAACATCATTTGAATATATCACCCTCCATGAAACCCTTCTACTATATCTTTTTCCTCTGGAGAGAGAACGATAAATCTTCAACTTGCGTTCCTTTGAAAATATAAAATTGTTTAATAATTATGTAAATGTCCATCTCCTCATTACACTATGAAATTTCTGAGTCCTATTTTTTCTTTCTTTTTTTTCTTTTCTTTTTCTTTTTTTTTTTTTTTTTTTTGATACAGGGAATTGAACCCAAAGGTTCTTAATCACTGAGCCACATCTCCAGTTATTTTTTTGGTTGTCGTTGTTATTTTTGTTTTTGTTTTATTGTCTTGAGACAGGGTCTTGTTAAGTTGCTTAGGCCCTTGATAAGTTGCTGAAGCTGGCTTTGATTTTACAATCCTCCTGCCTTAGCCCCCCAAGTTCCTAGGATTCCAGACATGTGCCACTATACCCACCTAAGTTCTAGTTTTCTTTTTATCCAGGATCTATGCCTTATATATATTAGACTAACAAATAATGTTAAATAAATATTTTAAAATATTTAACTCACTGATTGAATTTTTAATAGATGAATGATAGTGACTAAAGTTGAAAAGTGTTTTTTTTTTTCTCTTGGGATCCTACCTTATGAATTGAAAAATATCTTTCCTTGCTATATCTATGATTCTTTCCACTGTATGTACTCCAAGAAGTGCTCCTTACCACACCTCTTCCTCAGTACATACAAGATATGTGATATTAATAGATATAATAAAGTATACCTTAATCTAATCTATAGCATACATTTATATTTTCCTGCTTAGGCATATGAATTATCTTGATCATAAAAAAAAACTCTGCCTTATTCTGTTTCTCTGGCTTTAGAGTTTAAGATTTAGAGTTTGTTTAAGATTATGACAATAGGAAATAGGGGTAAAAGAAACAAAATTCTAGAGCCATCTTGCCTTAGGAAAACTGTAGGTGAAAGCAGAATCATTTTTACATTGTCAGAGTCCACTCTTTGGACATCAAAGATTCTCATTATTGAGAGGAGACACCAACATTAAGTTCATTCAATCCTTCTCACCTAAGAAGAATTTTAGAATGTGGAGGAACAAAACATAGGATTAAAAAGTTCTATAATAATTATAAAGAATATTCTTCCTTTGATCCACTGCTTACCTGAAACTACATTATAAAAGAGCAATTAATAGTACACTATAAATTTGCTTGTTCATAATTACAATATATATTTTTCATTTGCTACTGCAAGTTTATATTGAGTCACAGGAAACTGTATAGATAATAATGTTATTACAAACTTTAATTGCTAATGAAATCATCCTTTTATTTGCCTTTTTATCAGGACAATAGAATTTACTGCAGATTTTTGTTTAATTTGGTATATCCTTAAAAATTCAAATATTCAATTTTAACAAAAAGTGATTTTTCTTTATTTGGGTATATGCTTAAAATTCAAATATTCAATTTTAACAAAAAATGTGATGGGAAACATGTCAATGACTATCTTGGCAAAGTTTAAAAGTGTTGGGTTTGATCTTGGTAATATTTGAGATTTTTAAACAATAGATCTATCAATATGATATAAGCTTGTTCTCTTGTTGAGAAAAAAGTTACAAAGCATTTGTGGAACAATAAATATGTGATGTTGGACTCCCAAATACAAAATCCTGAAGATGGATTGCCTGAAAGTGTATTGCACATCTCGTGACAGGAAACTTGTGCTCTTTTCAGGCAGCAACTCTCAATCTCAAACCCTCTAAGACTGAGAATATTAGTCTTTTCATTGAACTAATGTTTGTGTCCACAACCCACAATAAACTCTGCAATTTCTCCCCAGTGTCTTTGGTTTTCATTTTTATCAATACTTATCTTCTTTCTAAGGCTGCTCTTTTATTTCATTTCTTTGTAAACAAATTAAAATTATAGTCTATTATGAACCATTTATTCCTCTAGGGGTTTCATATAAATTGAAGAATAAGAACATGCTTGTTTGCTGATATATTTAAGTTTTAGCCTGATAATAATATATAATTAAATCAAATAATCTTCAATATTTGCATAAATTAGGGTTGTTTTTATAAATTAGTTTATTGATATATGCTATGAGATAAATTTTCATGAACCAGTTTATACTCACAGAAGGCTGCTTAGAGCAAATGAGACTTGGTCTCCAAAGCCAAGCCTTCTTCAAATGCTTTAAACATCTCTTGAACAAGTCAATTCCCATCTACTTACACTTTCCTGTAGCTCTTTCTGGGGTCCAATTTGAAAAATGAGGGATCAACCTAGATTTAGACTGCCTGAGTTCAAAATATGGCTCTATTACAGATACTTGCTAACTACATTACCTTGGGTGCTTTTGATATTCCCCTCTGTCCTCAGTTTCCTAGTAGAAATTTCAGATAATAATACTTCATAAGGTTTTATTATTATGTATTGAGAAAAATCTATGAGTGAATACAAATTAACTAAAATACTCCTTGTTATCTCCCATGATTTTCATATCTCTGAATCCATTAATTTATGTACTTACTTTTAGAGAGAGGAAATGTCATTTGAAAACCTCAATGTGAAAGACACAGTGGTTTGTCTTCAGTCTGTAATCCCAGGGTAAGGGCACTGGCATGTCAAATCAAGGGATGGCTTCAGAAATATCCAAGTGTGGTTCTCAGCTAGCTGGGTTAGGTGCCTTCTCACAAGAAGTGAAATGGGTGGCTCCTCAACAATCCCAGTTTCATCATGCTGCCAATATCATTGAAGTCCCCTCATTGGTTTCCCTGGATAAGAAAGACCTATAGTGGCATTTACGGTCTTTCAATTCAGAAGGAGCAAATTTTTTCTATGTTCTCACTAAGAGCAGAGTAAAGATGAAGGAAGGAGTAGTTATCTTATTTCTAGTAAAGGAAGAACTTCATTAAGGTGCTTAATGAAGTACTCACCCAATTTTGGTGTCGGGGGAGGGGCCAGCAGCAACTAGCAGCAAGGATTTGTTGATTGGTCAGTCTCTAAGGTTTATGCACATGAAAATCCAGGGTTATCTACATGAAGGAAGTTAGATTTATGAGGTAGGAGCTGCTGTGCTCAAACACTGGGGAGATAGAAAATCAAATGAGCTTCCTGATCTGCTAGGCTTTCTGGGAGCATTGTGAGGGATGTAAGTACTCAGGGACAAAGTAACTCAATAATAACTTTATACATCACTTTATACACACCTGCTGGGCTTGGTTTGTATCAGTGAGACCAAGATGCAACTACTGGACTTCACTAGAGTAAGCATTTTAATATCAATAAATACCTCATATCATCATGATATACACCTTAAAAACACACAAAAAAATAGTGTAAAAAAGAAAAGTGGATGCTAGCCTTATTAACTTCAGAAAGACTGCTCCTAGAGATTTATCTGCCTTATATTGAAACCACGAAGAAAACAGAAAGAAACTAAAATCGCAAAAAGCAACGGGAAGAATTCAGGTACAAAGCAAAAGACTTACTGATAAAAATATATTTTCACACACATTATGGCTATCCAAATACCTGAAGTGTCCAAAGAACCATAGTTTCTATAATGAAGTTGCAGGAAAGTCTAAGATGACCTCTAGAGTAGCTAAAAGCATCAATATCGTTTTGTGATATGATCCAGCACAGCTAGCATATTTCTGGCCGCTGAGGTCTGTTTCCATTTATGCTGCTGAGTGAAAGCACTTGGGGTCCACAGAGGCTGAGATTGGCTCAGAGCACCAATGGTCCCCTGATAAATAAAGATAGAGGTGACTTTCTGGATATGATCCCTGGAAAGACATGC